CTTTAAAAAATAATAAGAAAGCAATCCAAAACGAAGCCAGACGTGAGTTAGTTTCTTTAACTACTAAGCACAATATAAAATGTTAAAGCCAAATTCAAGAGCTATATGAATAAATCCATTAATATAACTAGTCACACAATTGTACAAAATTAAGAACAATATATCATGAAATAAATGAATTAATACTCAAGTAAGAGTAGTGAGAGTGCACATGCTTGGTAGAGTTACATGCATATTGCATAACATAAAATTTTCTTGTGTTTATGTATATAGCATCTAAATCTTTATTTTTATTTATATAACATTCAAATATCTAAGGCTTCATTTGGAACAGCTTTTTAAAATAGCTAAAAGAACTTTAGTTTAAAAAATTTTTGTACTAAAATGATTTGGAAAGCCATAAAAAGTTATCCTAAATAAAGTCTTAATCATACAATTTTTTTTTTTTGTAATATAAGCTTATTTAAATAAAACATACATTGTTCATGTATATGTTTTGATGTGATTTAGATACTAAAATGATATATAAGTAAATATAAGAATTTTGATGTTTGATATCTAAATACTTCAAAATCTTGTGTGATGGATGTAAATTTCTCTATATCAAAATTTATGTAGACATTCAATGAACTTAATGTAATCAAAACTGACCTTAAATTTAATAAATATAATATAATAATTTTTATAATCATAAATGCCATATAATTAGGTAATTAATTAAATAATATTGATAAATGTAATATGAAATTTAGGATTACTTATATTTTCTTAGCATTCATAAGTGATCAAACACTATTTTTTGAGTAAATTTAAAGAAAATATAGAATAAATGAGATGAATTGACTCTAAACCCAAGCAAATTTCTAAAAAATATTGAATAGTTTTCCTAAGTTCAAAAATAAGATTTGAATATATTTAATCAATTTTATTAGTGTTAATCAAAAAAATAATTAATAAATTATTAAATATTATGTAGCTCATCTTGGCCTCTTAGTTGGGAGCTTTGACTATCAACAAAAGTCTTGTATATGTGAGTTTTCATGCCTTAATTGGCCTAAATATCCCAAAAAAAAGTTTAAAGGTTATTTACAGGTATGTCCATCTAGCTCAGCTCAGTTGCCCATTAAACTCGCAACATTAATATTTTTCAATTAAAAAATCTTCAGTATTCTATTCATACACTTTGCTAATTAAAAACCATGATGCACATTTTAAATATTAGCAAAATAATAATTAAGTTCATTCCAACTAATTTGAGCACTTGGAAACTTTTGCTTGACAGATTTCATGCATTTATTTGATGATTTAAAAACCTTTAGTTATACAATCAAATTTAACAGTTTTTTAATGAAGCTTTTGAATGGTCATAGCTTTAATATTTAATTGAGAGAGAGGGCAGGGCTGCAAACGAACCGAGCCGAGCCGAGTATTTGAGTGTTCATGTTTGTATTCATTTAATATCAGCTTGTTCAAGTTTGGTTCATGTTTGTTCGAGCTTTATTATTTGTGTTCAT